GTCAGAAAAATCCTTAAGAATTTCAGATAAATTATCAAGTTTAATTCTAGGATCCATAATAGTTGCTAAATAAAAAATAAATGGCATATTTTCAAAATAGTTTTTAAACTTATGCTCCATCTCCCTTATGCAACCTGCAAGAAAGTCATGAGTTCTATATTCTGCAAATAATTTAGCAATATTATCAAGATGATAAAGCACTAAATGAATAGTAGAATAGCGAACTCCAGAAAGTGTTCTAGTTGCTGCCACAAACTTCTCAAGAAAGTGACAGAAAACTTCATAAATATTCCACTCGCTAAATGTTATGGAAAGATCAGATAGATGTTCATGTTCAATAAATGCATCAACAGTTTTTTGGTAGGGGGTGGCATCACTAAGCATATTGTAAGTAGAGTTCCATCTTGTCTTAACATCAATCTGAAGAACTTTTCTCCTCAAGCCGTAAACATCACAACACTCCTTAAAGGACTGTTTTCTTGGACCACTGCCTCTCATAAAAGTGATAAACCATTTTAGTTTTTGTAAATACTGATCAAGATATTTCATTCCATCCTGCACACATAGGTTAATGATATGAGAAACACATCTAATATGGAAAAATTTACCCTTCATTATCGGATTTAGAATTTCTTTTAATTTTAAAATTGTCGATGTATTTTCTGAAGCATTGTCAAAAGATATAGAAAAAAATTTCCTCTCTATCCCATAGTCACGACAAGTTTGTGAAATTGCATCACAAACGCCTTGTGCATTATGCAGATATTCAAAGCTCCTGAATGACAAAATTCATTTCTGTAAGATCCAATTTTCATCAATATAAAGCGAAGTAACACAAATATAATGATTGTGATCGAGAGACTCCCAAACATCAGAGTCAAAGCTATTTTAGTGGATACAGCAGACAGAGCAGCTTGCATGATAAATTTTTTAGTACATAAGAGACATTTAATTTCTTGTAATTATTTTTCTGCTAATTTTTTGATATTTTGGACAAAAAAACTTTTAATATTTTTGTTTAAAAATTTCATTTTCAGTAATATTAAAAGAAAGCTCAGCTTGCACAATAAACTCAGCTAAGTTTTTCTTAGCGAGTTCGGGTTTATACCTGAATGTCGATAACCCACCTATACCTCTAACAATCTGCGATTGATTTTTTCTTTTTCACCATCTAGAAGGTCTCCGTGTTTTTTTTTCAGAGGCCTATATAGTGATCATGTTCCACAATTCTTCCCAAATCTGTAGACGATTTGTCATGCTAAACAACGTGTCGATCTATTACCATTTGGATCTAGAAATTTTTCAAAAAAGGCCAAACCCATGAAGAATCTTCTAATTTTTTTTCGTTTATTGGAAGCAGGTTCCGTTTCAGTTACTTCTTCAATTTGTGTCTCTAGAACTTCAGTATCTGAAGATTGAGAAGTTGGTGACAGATATCGAGAAGGAGTCAGAGAAGGACGTCGAGGAGGTCAAGGTGGAGGATAAGAAGAGATAGAATATCTTGCCACCACAGAATCGGGTGGTAGCGGTCTACACGATTGTTGTCATTCCATTGGAGAAAGTGAAATAGAGTGCCTAGAAGTAGAGTCTAGAGGAACATTACTTGTGGTTACTTCAGGATATGTAAAGGGAACAGTACCGATGGGATCAATAATATACCCGGCGGGAGCAAAAGGATAGTAAGAATTGTAAGGTGCATTATACATTTGACACTACTACTACCACCGACTTCATGTGAATAGTGTTGAGAATATGAAAAAGGTGTGTAGCCACTTCCACTTGTAATGGGTGGAGAAGAGGAACAGTATTGTGAGGAGGATGAGTAGGGAGAATATTGTGAAGAAGATGAGTAGGGATCCATCTGATTTTTTTCTAAGAAAACTTTGGCAGAGTGTATAGGAGGTTTTTTGTAATTAGAATGAGATATATTTATAGAAGTTATGAGATATGAGAATGAACGAGTCCTGTTTATAGCAGAGGGAAGATATTCCTTGGACTCACCTTTATTTTAAAAAAAATCAAAAAATCAAAAGAGAGAGCCGTTGGCTCTCTCTTTTTAGCAATCAGCAATAGTGATGTTATTGACTGCTCAAAAGAAAGAGCCATTGGCTCTCTCTTTTTAGCCTTAGCAGGCTAAAAAGAGCATCTTTTTAGTCTGCTCTTTTTAGCCTTAACATGCTAAGGCTAAAAAGATTCTCTTTTTAGCCTGCTAATCCTATTTTTAGTTTGCTAAAAGGATAATCTTTTTAGCCTGATCTTTTAGCAGGCTAAGATCTTTTTAGTAAGCTTAAAAAAAATTTAACAGGCTAAAAAGTTTTAACTGGACTAGAAAATTATGTTGTGTCCAGAAGGCCAGCAACAATTTTGTTGATGGCCTACTAGGCCACTGGCCTTCTAGGCCGCTTGCCAGCAGGGCAGTTACTGGCTTGCTGGCCAGTTGCTGGCCTTCTTACTGTTGTTCTTATTTATGTATATTATTATTTATATTTTAAAAAAAATAAAAATTAAATTTTTCGGTCAGGCCGGGCCGAGCGGGGTTGGGTCGGGCCGAGCGGGTCGGGTTCAAGGTGGGTCGGGTCGATTTAATTGTTTCCTGAGTGTAGAGCTAGACCCTAGCCGGACCCGATGCCCGCGTATATCACAAAACCAGGTCGGACCATGTCGGGTTGGGTCGGTCAGCCCGCTGGTCAACTCGGCCTTCGCCTAACCCTAATATCAAGATGGAATAAGGTATGCTAAATGCTTTTTGATATAAACCAAAACCAAATGGCTTAGGCTTTGTTTGCATAACATAGTGTTTTTCTTGTTGTGTTTTTGTAAAAAAAACCATGACATTGTGTTTTTTCCTTCAAATGTTTTCAAAACACCATGTTGAGTGTTTTTTTGTCAACACTGGTTTGACCCGTAACAACATTAGTATTAAACATATTATTAATATATTATATATTAATTATAATAAAATATATTATAAATAAATATAATATTATACTATTATTAATATAATATAATATTATTAATAATGTTAATATTATGTTATTACTAGTATACTATTAATAAACTAATATATTATAAATATTCTAAAACTATAATATATTATGGTTTCTAATATGTTAGAGTTTATTAATAATACTTTAATAATATATTAACAATTTATGATATAAATAAATATTATTATATTATGAATATATTACTTTTACACAGATTTTTTAGCAATAAATTATTTTCGTATTAAAATTTATTTTAATTTATAATATGTTATATTATTTATTATATAATACATATTAAAATTTTATATATTATACTACATTTACTATGCAATATATTATTATTTTTCTATTAAATATATTACTATTATATAATATTTTATAATTATTAATTTATCACAATTTTTTTATTAAAAAGTTAATATTTTATATTATATTATTATATCATTAGTATTGTATTATTTATTATAATTTTTTTTTATTAGTTTTTTGTATTTATTATTATTTATTATTACATTATCAACATATTAAATACTAGTATTTAATATTTTATTATATTATTATATAAAATATCTTAATTATTATATTTTTATATTATTTAATAAATACTTTTAGTATATTAGATTAACTATAATATAGTATAGTATAATGTAATATAATATAATAAGCATGTCAATAATAACTATGTATTAATTGCCTCTAATACCTTAAAACCAAAACTTCAAATTTAAAACACCTACAATGTGTTTTGAAATAAGTGTTGTGTTATGGTTTAAAGATGATTTAGCTCAAAAAAATCATGATTTCCAAACACATGATGTTTTATTTTTGATAAACGTCATGGTATCCAAACGGGGATATGGATCCTCTCCACTACAAAAAAGTAGTGGAGAGACCACTACTTTTAATCTCAAGCGTTGATTATTTAATAGGCGGTTATGATACAATCTAAATCTAACACTTACCATACCCCCCGTATATTGTACTCATTCCTAATTTGTACTAAAAGAAAAAATCATAACCATCAACTAGATAATCAATGGCTGTGATTATGTAGTGGTCCCTCCATTATTTTTTTTACAGTGGAGAGGATCCGAATCCATGCAAACGGAGCCTTAGACACCCAAATCGGTAGCAGCCATATTAGAAGAGGGGTGTCCTGTTTTTTCCACATAATAAGGAAAAACGGAATTGTACTATTCAAAATGAAAGATGATGCAGTTGAAAATTCACAAGCGCTTGGAGACTTCGCCAAGTGGACAGCTAATAAAAAAGTATGATATCTGTCCGTGACAAATACCTGTTTTTACACAAGGTCATAAATAGCAACGAAAACGATATTTTTAGAGTTAGCACTTGTGAGATTCGCTACGATACTTAAAAACTATGATTTCAATTCAAATGAGATTCAACCAGAAACACAGTTGATCAAAGACTGCATCTGTTAAGATTCTTGATCTGCTTCTTTCTAATAAACCCATTAAATTGGTCTCTTAATAGGTATTAAAATACAGGGTTAATCGTGGATACACAGCCTCTGTAATATAGGCATTTAGACGCTTATTATTCTTGAATTTTATTTAACACTTGGGCCATTTGATGTCCTAATGGAATTTTCTTTAGCATCTCTACTTGTCTCGTGGGTGTCACGTGATGTCTATGTGATGTCAATGTATTACAGAGAGATCCGCTTACACAGTGTGTCACGGACAGATTGCGTAAAGGTGGTTAACGTACATCCCCGTTGAGAGAGAACTTTATTTCAGAATCAAGAGCCTGAATGCTATTAAGTAATTAGTAAATAATTACACCCTCATAATACAGAGAACCCCTTATAGTACAGAGGCCATAACTGCAATTAATCCTAACAACTATCAACAGCTCTCCTGAACTGGTGATGTTCCAATCCTGCAAACCAGAAGACTAATAATAGCCTAGAACAATATTTGGAGTTAAAATTCACGAAATGACATTGAATTTTACTGAACAACGTGGAATTTTACTAGTACCATCAAATAGAAAATATGAAGAATCACCTGGTTACGATATTAATGAACCTGATGATGATATTTATAATGAAACGAAATTACACGTGGAACTGGAACCACCTAATAATACATGGCTATGAGCAAGGAGCCATGGAAAAAAGAGTTCTATCTCTGAAACCTGAGCCATTTCAATAAGCATTCAATCAGTTTAAGTTAACCGGCTAATAACTTACAGAAGTGGTCAGGGATAATATAACGTTCCTACTAAAACTCTTCCTCTCTACTGCCAACGCTTTCCATATTTCGTGGAAGATGGTGTTGCTTGATTAGTGGTGCTTCTCCTAATACCTGGAATTTGCAAGAGATTTCATGAGAAATTATGAATTTGAAGATTAAAGAGATAAATCATGAACTCGTTACTTTCACTCTGTACAAAAGTAACAAAACATTATCAGGTATGATAAGACTATTGAAAATGGTATATGGTAGTTTTCCCAGATTAAAAATATTATGGTAGTTTTGTGCAAAACAGCCAAAAGTTCATGATAGTTTTGTGAAACTTAAGCAAAGAGAAGAGGCACTTGTTATGTTTGAGCCACATAGTATGCGTAAATTGTCAATTTAAGGAATACCATGCATAGATGGGCAATTTAAAGAGAAATGCCCTTTTCTCCAGTTAGGTTTTTCCCTAAACAACAAAATTATCAATGTTGTGACGAATTATATCCACTCAGGCTACTGCATTTTGTTTCGACGCCTACCAATCACCGGAGAGATTACTGTCTCTCAAGCATATAGAGGTTTGCCACATGAGCATGATTCAAATGCTAGAAAAAAAGTAACCACCACAAGCCTAAAATAAGTATGGTGCAGAATTAAACTAGCAAGCAAAAAATACGCACTTGAACTCCTCATGCTTTCCTTCTCCCTGATCCTCATCGATGTTGTTTGCACAGCGCTTTTTGGTGTTGGTCTTGGTACTTGAGATGGGACAAACCTGCATTTATGCAGTGTTACAAAGGTTAACCTATAAGAAAGAGATGGGAAAACCATACAGAACAAAGAAAAATGTATTGTTAAATTACAGTCCTATGCAAATAAGCTATTTTTATTATACTTGTAAAAAATCAACTAATATTGCAAATTAAGTTGCACAAAATAGACAATAAGTTCTACACCTTTGTACTATTAGAGAAAGGGATGCCATAAGCCAAAAATTAGTTTAACTCTTTATGTTCAGTCATGTAAGGTAAAAACCGTAAAATAGAAACAGACTAACTAGGACTTTCATCCTCATTTTCCCGAGAAAGTGCCCAGCATTCCTAATCCATGGCATTAATGGTACATCAAAGGGAAATCAACCCTTGAATCAGTGTTTTAAATGTCGGCCGACATGTCGGAAATGTTAGCCGACATGTCGGATTTAGGGGCCAACCGATACGATATGGAGCTTTTCAATGCGTATTGCGTTTTCAGAGTTTATGTCAGATATATCGGGCGAATATGTCAGGTGATATATCAGTTATGTCGGCCGATTTTTCAGTTTGAAAATTTGGCTGATTTTATTATTTTTTTATTATATTTATCTAATCAGGTTTGAGTTTAAATTCTTGATTGTCTTAATATTACTTTCAAAGACAAAAACCGATAAGTCAAGGGAAATGGAAAAAAGACCGAAGTAATATCCATCACTCATCTTCTCTCTCTCCTTCGACATCTCATCGGTCTCTTCTCCGAGCCATTCCTTCGACATCAATATCGAGTGATCTTCTTTTTCTTAACCGTTAATATCGGAGTCCTCTTTTTCACCTCTTTCCTTCAACATCAACCCTAACATCATAAGTTATTTACTCTTTCATATGTTTAGACAATAGAATTTTTTAAGTCTGTTTAGATTTTATTTATGATATTTATATTACACATGCATATCATCCGATATGGCAATCCGATATTTTTTCATGTCCCCCGATATATCACCGATTTCCGCTATCCGACATAAACCCGACACCTGACATTTAAAACATTGCCTTGAATCACTAGATTTGGGGAGCAATGATCCAAGGGTTGATATTCCTTGGTGCAAAATTAATGCCATGGCCTAGGTCAACAGGATACTTTCCATTTCATACCCTATGGCTGAACAATGCAGCTCAAACTCCCAAATCACGACCCAGAAGAACACACGTAAAAACACAAACACAAGTGATGAACTTAAAATCAAGAAGAAAACACCTATCAACTGCCAAACTACTAACTGAAAATGTACCAGGAGTTGCTGAGCATTTCCTCCCACTGAAAAGGCATATTAGATAGGGTTTTTTTATTTAAATCTTCCTATTTTAACATTAGTCCCCCGAATATGTTAAATGTTTTGAAATTAGTCCCCCACATCTTTCAATCTGGTGCTAACTAGAGTAACTAATATCAAAACACTAAGAAGATTTGGGGGACTAACTTCAAAATACTAAAAGATTAGGGAGAATTATTTTAAAATATGAAGATTTGGGGGAATAACTTCCAAATAAGAAAGATTTGGAGGACTTGCATATTGAAAAAAAACCAACATTCATGAAAGAAAATATAACAGATCAGCTGAAATTCCAAGCTACTTACATCTTCTCCTTTGTGACATCTCTGCAATGCTCTGTGAACAAGGGGAGCTCCACAGAATTGTTCATTAAGCTCTCATTTTCTGCTCCTACGGATAAACAAATATCTGATACGTCACTTAATCTTTCATCTGAATCAAATTCTGCAGAAAAGTTTCGACCAAAGTCCCCTCCATACAGCTTCTTTAGTTCTGAAATTTCATTTTCATCCATAGACTGTCGTGGACTAGCCTCAGAATGACTGTCACTGTTATGAGGAATTCCCAGGATCTGAAGCAGACCTTTGAATAGGAACCGCTGCCCTTCGGCTAGACGATCTTCGCTTGTGTTGGGTGGCAAAATCTAGCAGTGAAAGTCCAGGAGAGGAGGACGATAGCCTCAACGAGTTGCTCCCATGTCTTTTGCTGACACCAGGAGACTGATTTCCCATATCTTTAAGCAATTGCAAACGTTCAATTTCCTCATCTTTCCTTGCCATTTTTCCCTTAAGTGAAGCCACCTGCATTGACAAATACCATCAACATGATACAAAACGAGTCAGAAACTTAATGATAGCCCAAGCCATAGATAGTAAAGAGGTATTGCAGTTGAGAACAATGCCCAAAGGGCATGTTGCTACAAGCTGAGAGTAAGACGCAACAGGCTTTTAACCACGTTACCCCCTTATCTCTCACCTGTTCACCTTCCCGGCCTTCTTTGTAGTATACCCAGCCTTCCGGTGCATGCGATGCACGTATGACACATAATGAGGGGGAGTGGTGAAGTCTAATTGTCAAGAGAAAGGATGGATTATTAGGTTGTTTGGAATTTACCAAGTGTGAGGGCATTTCAGTTGCTTTTTCAAAGGTGAGGCACCACGCGCGTTTCCATTATCTTTTCCAAGCATGAGGGCACTTCTGTTGATTTTTCCAAGTGCAAGGGTGTTTTCTTTGAGTTTTCAATGTATTAAGGCATTTCCGGAATTTATACCCTCGAGGAGATCACCAAAAGAGGGGGTTTTCTGAGATAAAAATTATAGATTAGATAATCCTCAAGAAGATCATAAGTAAGGGCTTTAATCTAGCTAGCTTTTGACTGAAAGTAATTTCAAATGGTCAAGTTGATAGTTTTGGCTGACATTTTAGACCTTGGATATCCTGTTAGATAATAGGGTTAAGAGAACACACTGTAGGATCTGAAATAGATACACTAGAACACTAGAGGGGGGGTGAATAGTGTTCTTTTAAAATTTATGCAAAGTAGATTATAAATTGCAAAAAAAAATGGCAATCTCAGAAATTCACAATCACAAACACAAAGTTTTATACTGGTTCCACCAATCCGGTGTACATCCAGTCCCCAAGCAAATCCCGCTTGAGAGTTTCCACTATGATTTTGAATAAACTTACAAAATCAAAAAAAACCTGACCAATTTGCAAGTCCCTGCAAATTGCAACACCAATTTGACAAACACCTTGCCAATTTGCACACCAATCTCTAAACCAAGAGATTAACACCTCTCACAACTTGAGAGAACTTTTTGAAGCAACAATTTCAATTCCTATAAGCCTTGATTTGCAGTGTAGTGTAGTAGTGGTTTAGGAATGATTCTAACTTCTGTAAATTGCCTAAACAATAAGTATTTGAATGATGTTCAAAGGCAATTTCTGAAACTTTTCTTTTTCTCAAAATCTGAATATTTTTCACTTGAAAAAAATGCACAAAGATCAAAGCTTATGGGTATCTCAATGTATGTATTTTTTCTGAACAAATAACCTATTTATAGCCCTTGAAAAGACAAGTTTTTGAACTTTAAAAACGTTTAAAAACAGCTATAAACAATCATATATTCAAACTTTGAATTCTGGAAAAACTGTATCTGTAGTCGACTACAAGACTGATTAGTCGACTGCACTGAGATTAAACAGACTCTGTTTATTCAGAAAATTTCTCAGTAGTCGACTATAAAGTTCATTAGTCGACTATACTGTAATTTGACAGAAACTTAGAAAATAAATTTTGCCTTCAGTAGTCGACTATAATGACAATTAGTCGACTATACTGTAAAACAACAGAAACTTATGTTTCTGTCATAAACTTGAGTAGTTGACTATTATCCATATTAGTCGACTATACTGTAAAATTACAGAAACATATATTTAAGACATAAACATGAGTAGTCGACTACTATTCTAATTAGTCGACTACTAAGAGTTAAAAATGATATAAGTTCAATGTTTTGACATTCTATTGTTAATTATAACTCTAATGGTTAACATAGGGGATTTCAATAGTTAACCAACACACTAAGCCTGTGTTAGTGTGTTCTAATATTTATGTGTGTGTAAGTGATCAAGGCTTGTACAATAATTCTAAGTAAAGAAAATGTAAAATACATTATCTCATATGTTCTTCTTCTTCTTCTTCACTTCATAATGTCTCGAATCTCAACTTGCACTTGTTCATATTTTAATATTGAAAGCTGCATATAAGAGTTAGTGCATTTGTATAACACACATTGTATAAATTGTTATCATCAAAATACTATCATGGAGATATGATATTCAACATTCTCCCCCTTTTTGATGATAACAAATAATTTATGCATAAGTATGTATTTTATAACAAGGTTTAAACATTATGAAATAACTATATTTACTCCCCCTGCATATAAGCAAATTAGAGTCTATAACAACAATACATAACCAACCATTTCTCCCCCTTTGTTATCAACAAAAAGAAATAAACAATTAAACTAAATGGGACATTATTTCTTCAACATGACCTAATACTTCAAACAAATCATCTAGATTATGAACATAGTCCATAACTTCACCCATCCAAATAGGTAGGCAAAGACTTGCCATAAAGATCAAAAGTTCCACAATGTTCATCACCATGATTTGTTTAAAATATGTAGCACATATATTAACTATCCAAACAACATCATAGTAAAGTAAACACACAATCAACATACTAGACATTGTAGCAACATACCATATTACATGTCTTAATAACAACCCACAACTACATAGTTTTTAATACTTAACCATAGATAATCAAAATAACATAATTGTTTTGAAACTAAAACATCCAAATATAAAATGATGCATGCATAAACTTCTAAGGTGCTGGAGGAGGTTGCTGTCCTTTAAAGTATGCATTAAGCTTTGTGTCCAAGTCTTCAAACTTCTTGATTAGCTCTTCTTGATTACTAATGATATAGGAATTCTGAGAATATAGAGCTCTCTGACCATTTTCAAGTTCAAGAATACGTGCACTTAGAGTGTTGTATTGCACGTCTAAAAAACATGAAGCTTCTGTAGGAAATGGTGGTGGTGGTTGACTAGAAGAAGTTCCAGCTTGAGTTAAAGATTGTGGAATATTTTGTGGAATTTCTTCTTGATGTGGATGAGGTTCATCTTGAGGATTTTGTGCTTGAATTTCAAAATTGGTTAACATCATCCTAGTTAGGGCATTGGAATCAAAAAATTCAATAGAACGAACAACAGAATTTTCAGATTGAAGATCCACATGAAATTTGTCAAAGATTTTTGTTAGAAAAGCACCATATGGAAGAAATCCTCTTGGAATTGTCAGAAGATTGTTAAAGTAAACTTCAGCCCAATTAACTTGAATATTTCCCATTATAGCATATAGAGCTTTTGCTAAGTCCAGGGAAATGAAATGAAAACTCCCAGCTTTTGAAAACAAGTTATATGCTAAGATTCGTGCAATGAATCTAAGAATTAGACGAAGTTTGTTTGAGTTATTTAAAGGTTTACCATGTCCAGGAAGAAATATATGATTAGATAAAAGATCTGAATCATTCATCCTAACTGACCTAAGAGAAACTCCTTGATAAGGAATATTGAAAATTTTTCCAATTGACTTTGTAGTCAAGTTAATCTCTATTCCTTTAACAAGAATTTTAAGTTTTTCAGAACCACCAATAGTTCCAACACGTTCTATATTAGTGTAGAACAATTGAACAAGAAAAGGATATGTGAGTTTTCTATTTTCAGCAGAGAATAATTCAAGCAATCCCACATTTTCAAAATATGATCCAAAGTTCCAGGGAATGAAATCATCAAATTTCACAAATCGTCCTGGAAGAACTTCAAAAGTTGATATTTTTTTAAATTCTTCTAATAAATCAGGATTTTTCAAGTAAATGATGATTTCATCGTTAACAGAAGTATGGATTTGCTTAGCTTTCTTAGATCTAGACATGATTAATCAAAGAAATAACAGAAGATTCAAAGATCAAGTTAATAATTTTACCACAAACTGTTGAAACCCTAGATTAGTCGACTAGTACGTGGTGTAGTCGACTACTGAACTTGACAGATTGCAGGAAAATGAAGAACTTGATGAAAATTTAAGAGGAACTAAGAAGCCCTAACCTGGAATCTGTGTGTTCTGAAGAGAGGAATAAGAGGATTCGGTTTTGAGATGAGTTAGTGGGTAGTTTTTAGGTTTTTATTTTTTTCTTTTTAAAAGAATTTCATTGTATGGTCCAGATTTGACTGTAAAATAAATGTAAGGTGAAGATTTTTTCTTAGATATATGGCTAGGATTGATAGAGTTAAGAATCTATGGTTGAGATGAATTTTACTTAAATGAAACGGGTATTGGATTTTGGGTTTTGGGTTTGTTTAAAAAAAATCCAATAAGCTTTAAAAAAGTAAAACTGTGAATTCAGTATTAGTAGTCGACTAATAAGAAAAGTAGTCGACTACACTGTAATCGACAGAAAGTTATTTTTCAGTTTTTGACTCAGAATAGTCGACTATAAATGAAATTAGTCGACTACACTGTAAATGATAAAAAAACTTATATGCAATACTTGTGCATGTAGTCGACTATAGGCTATATTAGTCGACTATTAAGGGTATGTATGCATATGTGTTTGTTTTTTAAAAAAAATTAATTTAAATCTTCAATTGAACATATACCTAGTTCCCTTCTTAATTTAACATAAATTTCTTCTTTTAATGGTTTTGTTAATATATCTGCTATTTGTTTATCAGTAGATATAAATTCTAATGAAATGTCACCTTTAAGCATATGATCACGTAAAAAATGATGTCTAATATCAATGTGTTTTGTTCGTGAATGTTGAATAGGATTTTTAGATAAATTAATTACACTAGAATTGTCACACATTATGGATGATATTGGACAAATTATGCCATAATCAGATAATGTTTGTTTCATCCATAAAATTTGAGCACATGCAAGACTTGCAGCAATATATTCAGCTTCAGTTGTTGGTAATGATACTGAATTTTGCTTTTTACTAAACCAAGATACGAGTGAATGTCCTAAGAAATGACATGTTCTACTTGTACTTTTTCTATCGGATTTACATCCGGCAAAATCCGCATCACTAAATGAAATTAAATGAAATAAACTATGTTTTGGATAAAACAAACCAAAATTTGTAGTATCTTTAATATATCTAAAAATTCTTTTTACTGCTTTAAGATGTGATTCTTTAGGATTAGATTGAAATCT